TCCCCCCTTCGCGCCGCCTCCCCCTTCGCTCTCCCCTCCCCCCCCCCCACACTCTCATCCTACACATCCCTCTCTCTACTTTGCCTAACATGGCCCGCCGCAAGAAGAACAAGAAGGCAGCTGCCGCTGCTCCCGTCGACGACTCCAACAACGACGTCCGGCCCATCGAGTCGTTCCGCGACGTGACCACCTCGGCCATGGTCTTTGATCCGGTCCTCCACGGCGCGTACATGGCATCGGCCGCCTCCAGTGCTGGTCCGTCGGAACCTGCCAAGCCTGCAGAGTTGGAAGAGGCCAAGGACGCCCCCGCCCTCAAGGCCTCCGGCTACAAGATCGACTTTTCCTCATCGACCAAGACCAACGACAAGGCCAAGGAAGAGACCGACGCCGACGACAAGGCCAAGGACGATACCGAGGCCAAGCCTGAGCCCAAGCGCAAGGCTGATGCCCCGGCTGATGCTGATCGCAAGACCAAGAAGGCCAAGGCCTGAGCCCTGCCCCTCTCTTCCCTCCCATCCATGGCTCCAGCACCAAGAATCGCCGAGCTACCAGAATCCCCAGAGCACGCCGCAACCGCTCCGCTGTATGTCTGCGCTTTCAGACTACCCGTTCACCGTTGGCAATGGCTCGAGCTCAACAACATGTCCAGCTCGCCATCACCATCCACATGAACTCGCTCTGATCTTCATGAAACTGACCAGCGGCAGCCTTGACCCGCCTTGACCCACTCAAACCCCCCTCCCCCGCCCCCCGCCCCCCGCCCCTCCCGCCCCCCCCCTCCCCCTAAGCCCAGCCATCAACGACGATGACCGCAGATCACAGCTGGTAGACACCCCCCCCCCTCTCTCCCAACCCCACCACACCCATAGCCATCGCACCCTGCCTGTCCACGTGTCGCCACGCATGGGCTTTTTTGCGGAAGCCAATGGTTCCATTTGCCGGCGTGCCACAATGAGTCACAATGACGTCGGTCTGACTGGCCACAGGCAAGGCGTGCAAGCACATGAGCGACCGGGGAAACACACACTCGTCTCCAACCCTCTCTTCCTCTCTACACACATACACATACTCATATCATGCTGCGCGCACTCTCCGGAGCCCGTCTTGCGGCACCCTCGCTCTCGTCCGAACTGCCGCGTATGGCGGCAGCATTTCATCTGCATCCGCGCCAGCAGTATGTTCACCGCCGCGGACCGCCGCCAGAGGCTGACACACCATCGTCGATCATGACAGCGGCCATGGGTGCTGTGGCGGCCATCGGCGTTGTCGGCGCCATTGTCCTCAACTCAAAGTCATCGCAAAACCGCAAGGGCAAGACTGTCGAGTTTGTCCAGCCTCCCGACGCACTCCCCTCTCTCGAGCCCGATGGCGCCTTTGATGCCGACGACGAGTCGTTCCTCGCCCACTCGTCGTCGTACGAGAACCAGCGCGGGCCTGCCGATGCCATCGAGGTATATGATGGCGCAAAGCACACCACGGTCACCGCCGACTCGGCGGCAACAGACGGCACCCGCATGCTCAACATCCTCAACGAGCCGGTCAAGGTCCGCGTCGGCGATGGCGAGTGGGTCACCGTCACCCGCGTCATGCTCGACACCGGCAATCTCGGGCCGACTCTCATTCTTCCGCGCCTGGCCGAACGCATCGGTCTCGAGCCCAAAGCCCGCATGATGCCGGTTGTCTCAGTCGGCATCCATGGCGACGCCCGCACTCTCCCGTCGGCCAAGGCCAAGGTGTGGATCAAAAACGTCGAGCTCGACGTTGTCGTCACCCTCGGCGAGGTTCCGCTTGCCGACTACGAAATGGTCCTGGGCAAGGACGTGCTCAAGGTCCTGTTTGATCGTGGCTTTGTCATCGGCGCGTACTGATCGTATCCTCCCCCCCTCACACACACGCACCTATTTCCATCCAATTGTAAAACTACGAAACGGTGTTTACCTTTCCATCTGTTCCCCGGCTTAACATGACCGCAACGCCGCCTTGGCGTCGTGGACAGCCTGAAGCTCATGCGAGCGCGATTCGCTGTGCCTAGGCTCATCGGCAGCTGCGTGCGCAGACCGAGTGCTGCTGCCGGCGGCGCTGCTGCTGTCGCCGATGCTGTTGGCTGGGTGCCCAAACGCGACCGGGGCCAGGCCCGTGTCGCTGGCGGGGGCGCCTTGCGCGGCGTCATACCGGTGCGCTTGACCCGGTAGACTGCGTCGGTAATGATGGCGTCGACGCCGGCGGTCTGCTGCAGCTCAACAGCGGCCTCGTCGTTGTTGAGGCCACCAAAGGTAAAGAGCATGAGGCCGGCGTCGTGGACGGTTTGGACGAGATCGATGTTGCACACAATCGGCTTGGCATCCGATACAATGCCATGCAGCCGCGCTGAGAGCGCAAAGTCGATGGCGCCCATGACCGAGTTCATCCGCGCGTCGGTGTACTGCACCTCGCCGCCGTCGGTGAGGAAGAAGACCGGGTACCGCGGCTGCTTCATCCGGCACATGGCGCACAAGTCCGGGTCAAACGAGGAGAAAATGATGCGAAAGTCCGGTTTGGCACACGAAAAGACGACGTCGAGCACAGCGTCGAGCCACTTGTTGCGCTCTGCCGGGTTCAGCTCTGCGTCGTCGGCCTCAGTCACCGGGTACTTGAGTTCGAGGTTAAAGCCGAGGCTCGGCTGGCGCGCCTGGACGTGGACAAGCACCTCGTGCAGAGTGTCGAACGAGCCGGTGATGAAAAACGCCGGCTGCAGCTCAGCCTCGGCCACCGGTGGCGAGCTCGCGAGCGCGCTCTTGCGCCGGCGCTGCTCGCCAAGCGAGGGGAAGGCTGAGAGCGATGACGACCGCTTGAGCTTCCGCTTGGCCGACGCCGCAAACGTCGACTGCGAGTCAACCGAGAGCTCGGGCTTGAGCGACTTGAACTGCGCAAGCGTCAGTGAGTTGATCCCGATCTTGATGTTGGCCGACACGTCCTTGTCGCCGCCGAGATTGCCCGACCGCGCCATGTCGTAAGTGACTCGGTCGACGTCGACCGTCTGCGAGTGGACAATGATGCGAAAGTCGTGGAAGATGATCGGGACCCCGTCGGCAGTCAGCTGGACGTCGGTCTCAACGTAAGAGAACCCGAGCCGCGCAGCCGCCAGGAACGCGTCGATGGTGTTCTCGCGGATGTACGATGCTGTGTTGGCAAAGTCCTTCGAGTTGGCGCCCACACCGCGGTGCCCGATGTCCAGCGCCTCGCCGACCTGCCGCGGCTTGGGCCGCTGCACCATCGCCAGCGTGTTGGCCGGGAGTCCAAAAGGGGTCGTGATGAGAAAGTTGAGCACAACCGAGCCGACAATGCACATGTTCGCGTCGAGCAGTGGCCGCTCAAGCGTACCGCGCATGCTCGTCAGCTCGGCTGCAGACACAACAGCGGTGCCAACTGCCCGGTTTTCGCGGCAGTTGTAGAACGCAAACCGGAAGCCCAGATGCTCGCGCGAGCGCGCGTAGAACATGAGCGCCCGCGGCATCGCCGCACCCTTGGGATACTTACTTGGCACAGGGTGCACAACCGCAGCCGGCGTGACCAGCGACGCCAGATATGCAAAGTCGTCGGCCCGCTCCGGGAGCAGCGGCGCGCAGTGAACGTCGACCCAGTCTGCATCGACATCGGCGCTCGCCTCGCCACCGTCGTCTCCCGCCAGCGCCGCAGCCACCTCGTTGCGGGCCACGTTGACCGAGGCCACTGTCAGCCGCAGCTCCGAGTCCTTGATGAGCCAGCCCTGGTCGGTCCACTTGCGCTTTGTGCCGCCAACCACCGGCTCGCCGTATGTCCCGTCGTTGAGCTTGATGGCGACGCCGAGCGGGACGAGCGAGCGCGGTTCGTCGAGCGCCTCGACCGAGACGATGCGGTCGGGCGTACGAATGACGTACTTATAGTGGACAACCGCGTCTTTGTCCAGCAGCAGCGAGCCCTCCCACAAGGCCTCCTCGCCCCACACCGGATCCAGAGTGAACGCGGCATCGACGTCCCAGTCGCCAAGCTGCGGCGATGAGCCGACCACACACACCACAGCATCGTCAGGCAGCGGTAGCTCGTCCTCACGCAGATGTGGAAGAGCACATGGGTCCAAAGGCCAGACGAGGTGATCGAAAGCAGCGCAGGCGTCGGTGACGATGCCACAACCGCGCCGGCCGGTGACGTCGCCGACGCCACCGCCGCCGCGGCCGACGGCGTGAGCTCGCTCAGCGGCGGCACCCTCCGGCGCATGGCCACTGTGTCCGACTCGGATCCACCCGGCTCGGATCCACCCGGCCGCGAGCGGACGACCGGTGGCGCCGTAGCCGACGTCGGCGAGCCAGACGGGGTGTCGGTCGGAGTGGCAAACGGGGTGGCCACGCCAAGGGCAGAGTCTTCCTTGGACGGCTTGCTAGGCAAGTGCGACATGGGTCAGTGTACAGCCCAGAGTGAAAGAGAGGAAGCGAGTCGGTCCACGGGCAGGTGAGTGGAAGATAAGTATGCTTCTGAGGATGGTGTGAGATCACATGCCCCTGGCTCCGCCCCGGCCTTGCCGGCAGCTCCCGACCCGTGGTTTCCGGTCGGAGTGGTCCCGGCTTTGACCTCGTTTGGGCGCGGCGCCACCTTGCTCCAACCCGCTCTATCCACACTGCGTGGCATGGGAACTGAAATCGGGGAGGAGAAGACTGCGGTAGTTTTCCCCGACGGCCCTTGTTTGACTTCATTGCTGCACACAAGCCTAGTACGGCAGCGATCAGCACTTGCACTGCTTCTCCTGAGCTTGGGCCTGCTCGTCGGGTGCGGTAGAGGTGACCTTGATGGTCTGCGACGGCTCGAGCTTGGATTTTGCAGGTGCAGGGGTGTCGTCGTCATCGTCCGAGTCTGACGACGAGGCGCCGGCGGCAACCTTTCGTCGGTAGATCTCCTCGATGCACATGGTAAAGGCCTCCGAAACGTTGTTGTTGTCGAGGGCCGAGGTCTCGAGGAACGAGACCTGGTGCTCCTCGGCAAAGGCCTGGGCTTCAGCGGTCTCGACCTCGCGGCGCTCCTCGAGATCCGACTTGTTGCCGACCAGGAGAATGACAATCTCCTGTGACGAGTGCTTGCGGACCTCCTTAAGCCAGAACTCGGCGTTGTCAAACGAGTCTGCAGACGAGATGTCGTAGACCACAAGCGCGCCGGTGGCGCCGCGATAGTAGTGTTGCGTGATGCCGCGGTAGCGCTCCTGCCCGGCGGTGTCCCAGATCTGTGCCTTGACCTTTTCGCCCTGCACCGTCAGCGTCTTGTCTGAGAAGTCGACACCGATGGTCGACTTTGTGTCATGCGAGAATGCCGCAGAGGTGAACCTGGTCAGCAAGTTCGACTTGCCCACGCCCGAGTCACCCACAATGACCACTGCCACGGGCCCCCCCCCCCCCCCCCCCCTCCGACCCACCCCCAAGAGACAAAACCAAGCCAAAGCACATCTCCTCAGTGGTGAGTCTTCCTCCCGCTCCATTTCTTCATCTCGTCACAACCTCGGCCTGTACCACGCCTTGCCCATCCTTGTCTCGGGTTGTGGAACACCGCGTCGGCCTCGCGGCACGCACGCACACCTTGTCCCCCCCACCCCCTCCCCCCTCCTGCCCTCAACACACGCAATGCTCTCACAGCCACAGCACATACCCCGGAACAGGTACCGACACGCCACATCCTCGTCCGACATGGTTTGGTCAAGAAGGGTGTGGACGAAGAGGAGTGGGTAGAGATAGACGGGGGTGGGTGTCAGGGGGAGTGACCGGCGGGAGGGTGATGGGACGGTCAGTCGGACATCGCTCGTTGTTGCTAACGATTCGTGGAGTAGAGGCATTGAGCAGGGCAGAGCAGAGTAGAGTAGAGCGTTTGGGGGGAGGGAGGGAGGAGGGGAGAGGAATCGTCGTCCTTTACAGGCATGGAAGAGCCCCATCAGTCGAGATGCGAGACCTTGCGGAACTGGACCGGAGCCATCCGCCGCGGCTTGGTCTTGGCCTTGGCTTTGTCCTTGTCCTTGGCCTTGGCTTTCTTCTTCTTCTTAGCCTTGTCCTTGTCCTTGCCCTTGTCCTTCTCCTTACCTTGCCCCATACTCTTCCCCTTTTCGGGACTCTCGACGTGCCCGGCCGGAATGGCCCCTGTGGGAAACGCTGCGAAATCGCCATCAGCACCGGGCGGCGAGGGGATAACGAGCGCAATGTCGTCTGTGCTCGAGCCGGGGCCTGCGTCTTCGTCCGGAACAGTGAGCGAGAATGTGATGGCCGGCGAGGTTTGCGACAACGCAGCATCCGGAAGTGAGCTTGCCAGCTCCTCATCGTCATCGTCGTCGCCAGAGCGCGGTGAGAGAGCGAATGTGTTGAGTGCTGATGCCGACGAGGTGCGGTCCAGGGCAGGCACGGCCTGAGCACGGACCCGTTCCATGGCCGGCTCCTCCCTTGGCCCGTAGACCGACGATGACGACGAGTCAGAGTCGCTTGAGTCGGCGCCGCTGTCGTTAGAGTCAGTCTGAGGCAGCGGGTGAGCGTCGGCGACAGGCGGGGGTGCGCGATCGAGGCCGCCATCCGTGGCGCGGACTGCGCGATGCGGGAGGAAAGCGACCGGCATGCGGCCACGGCCGAGTGCCTTCTTGGCCTTTTTCTTCTGCTTCTTGGACTTTTTGGCCTTCTTGGAGGCATCGGTCGAGCTCGTGCCAGCGACCTCGCGGATCCGAGACCGCGAGTTTCCAAACGGATGCGAGTACGAAGGGTCGCGCGTGCGGATGGCAGCCATGAGCTCGCTAGTGAGCTCCTTTTCTTCGCGAAGCAACTGGCGCTCTCGCTTGTAAAACCGCTTGGTCGCCTGCAACTCGTCGCGCATCTCGTTGTACGCCGCCGTGACGAGACCGAGCTGGGTGCGGAGCGCAACGACTGGGTCTGTCTCCATCAGCGACTCTTCCTCGATTCGCGCGCGGAGCGCAGCGGATTCACTCTCCGCCGTCGCCACCGCTGCCATCGCCTGTAGCTCGCGAACGCGGGCCTGCCGAGCAGCCTCCTTGGCCTCCTCCAGAGTGGCCAGGCGCGCCGTTTCGTTGCTCATATAGTAGTAAGCCTTGGACTCGGCGAGCGAGGCTTTGGCCACTGCATCTGCAAGCTTGACCTTGAGCTCGCGCACGTCCTTCCGCGCCGACTCGAGCGGTGTCAGAAGGCGCGACTCGGCCAGCTCGAGTGACGGCTCGATGGCTTTGCGGCTACCTAAGATGTTGACCGAGTCAATCGACGAGTTGAGCATGCCCGAAAGACCCAGATCCAGCGACATGCCCGGCGGTAGTGATGTGATCCTGTTCCGTCGCTTCTTGGACCGCATTCGCTTCGACTCGGGCACTAGCCGGAGCAGGCCCGACTCCTTCCGCGCCGGCTGCATGCCAAACGGAGGCGGCGACGGTCCACGCCGCGGCGGCGCTGTCGGCTCTTGCGAGAGCACCGGCTGTGGGAGCTTCTTTCCCGGACTAGCACTCTCCCCGCCTTCCATTTCTCGCTTGCCCCTCTCCTGGGTCTCCACCGGCGACTCCTGACCGAGCTGTCCACCGGCTTGCTCTGGGCCGTCGTCCTGCGAGGCCATTTGGTACAACCCCTCGCTCTAGCTTGCTGTCTCCTTGCGAGTGTCGTGAGATGCCTGCCCGACTCGCACGCCTCCTACTTCCCTGCTCGTGTTTCCTCGTGCAGACTGTGGCCCTGTGTGCGAGTGGGGTGTGAGGGGTGTGGGGTGTGGTGGGGTGTGGGAGGAAGGGGGGGGAGGGGGGGGGGGGGGGGGGAGGAGGGAGGGACTGTTGGCACGGACCCGGCACGCGTCGACGATCGGTGGAGGAAGAGGAACAAAGCGGGGAGATGGGCAAGGTGCGCGTTGATCGAGGTGTTTGGGGCGGAGTATGGGTGCCTACTCTGTGTCGTGCCCAGTCTGTGGCGGTGGATGCGCCGGAGAGCGAGTGGTAGTGCGAGTGAGCAAGGGTTTTGCGGCTGGCCAATCCTCTCTTCCTTCCTCTTGCTCCTTCTCTCTCTCTCCGCTGAACAACAGAAGGAGCGGGCGAGTGACAGGCAAGGGGGGAGACATAAGCTTGCGTCGGCCTCTTGCGATCAATGCCATCATTGTCTACAAAGTCGATCTCCTAGCTCCACCCAACCATGGCCACAGGAGAGACTCCAGCAGTACCCATGATCGTGTCTATGCCTCTCTGGATGGCAATACGATAACAAACGAGACTACACAGCATCAAACGATGGAAGGCAACCGCAGTCAACGGCAACGCGCCCACGCCGCCACGCCGCCATGCCGCCACGCCGCCACGCCGCCACCTCACTGCCCACACCATGCCACGGCGTGTGCGAGGCGTGCTGCAGTTGACTGGCCCGCGTGTAGTGGGCTTTTGTCTGCGGGCGGTGTGGCCGGAGACCGACTATGCGCCGGCGGCGGTGCGCTATGAGTGGCGCCGCGACGGCGCGCGGGTGGACGGCGTGACCGGCCCAGAGTATCGCCTGCGGCGGGCTGACAAGGGTGCGGTGGTGACGTGTGAGGCGCGGCGTGTGAGCGCGGACGGGGGAGAGTGCTTTGTGGCCTCGTCAATGCTCCCGATATCGGTCCGGCCCAAGGCCAATCGCCAGCGGCAAGCTGGAAGTGGGGGCAGCAACGGGCCGCAGCCGCGGCCGCGACATCGACACAGACATCGGTCGCGGAGCCAGGCCCCAGGTGCAGCGGTTCCAGGGCTGACCTGCTCCGCCCTGCAATCAAAGAGGACAAAGAGACGGCCGCAGCGCGAAAGAGATTGGCGATGAGCACCGCTGCGTGGCGGGCCAGGACTGCGGTTGCTGCCGGCGAGGTCAAGGCACGCAGGCACCGCCATCGTCACCGACACCGCTCGCGCCAGCAGCGGCCCGGTGAGATGGCGCCGCTGGCGTCGTACACAACAGAGAGACTCGTCTTGTTTACCGCCTAGCACGCTTCCATGCAGCCAGCACGTGCGCCAGCTCCGGATCACTACGGGCGAGCGTGCGCGCCGCGGCGAGCACACCAGGCTCGAGCTCTTCGGCTGGGCATGCAGCAGCCATAGCTACGGCAGCGGCGGTTGCAGCAGCACTGGACTGGCTGGCGGTGCATGCCATGTGAATTCTCGTGCCGGGGTCGGCGGCGGCGAGTTGTCGCGCGGCGGCGGCGCCCGCCTCGCTGCCCACCAGCAGCAGCTCTGCCAGCAAGAGATACGCATTGTCGCGGGCGCCCGGGGCGTCATCGCCCAATGCTGTGACCAAATCGAGTAGGTGGCTCACCGCGCCGACGTCGACCAGCTCGGCTGCCGCAGCGCCAGCAACATCTGGGTTTGCCAGCATGGCGCGCAGCCCCGGGAGCAGAAAGACGACCCAGTCCATGCCGCCGTGGGCCGCAGCGGCTGCCCGCCGCAGGCGCGGGTCAAAGAGCGTCGGCAGCAGTGGGAGGACCTGGTCGGTTAGCAGCGAGTTCTCCTCAGCACACCATGCGCCCAACACCCGCACGGCCGGGAACATCAGGTCGTGGTTAGCCTGGCCCTGGTTAGCCACCGCAGAGATGTAGTAGGTGACCGCCGAGAGGCACTCCATCAGCACCATGATCATTTTCGACGCCGCTTCGCCTCCGATGCCGCCGTCGTCGTCACTGACCAGCAGCCGGATGAGCTCCTCGGCAATCAGCAGCGCCCGCGGCAGCGAAGCAACCTCGGCCGATCCGCGAGCGAGGTTCTCCGACTCGAGAACAACGCGGACATCAATACACACACCCTTGGCCAATACAAGCCAGCTTTTGGCAGCCACGGCTGCAACCGCAGTCCTGCTCCCCAGCATCCACAGGCCGAACGAGTACAGTCTCGCGCGGATGGATGCGTTGAGCCGCGACCGCATCATAGCCGCCATCTGCGCGCCACACATGGCAAGCACTCGAGCCTCCAGCCCCGGCACAGGAAGCGTCACCAGCGCGTCCCACAGCTCGAGTACCCGAAGCCGCGACGCCGGCGCCAGCTGGCTCTCAGCGAACCAGCCGGCGAGCGCGTCTGCGACAGCCGGAGCAGCATCTGGCCGCGTCGCCAGAGCCATGAGCGCAGCGTCAAGCTCTGCGACATCGCCACCATCGGCCAGTGCCGCATCAGCACCATCTTCGGTGACATTGCCGGCCTCACTCTCACCATCAACAGACGAAGGCTCTGCAGCGGCGCGGCATGCGACGAGCCGGGTGATGAGCACCGGGTGGAAGACCCACGCCGGGGTGGCGTCCAGAGCGGCAAGTCTGGCAAGGATGAGGGCAGCGACCGACGCAATCGGCTCTGGCGCAGATCCATGGCGGAGAGGGGGGCAGAGCATGCGGGCGATGAAGCGCAGGCCGACGGTGTCGACGGCGGCGAGCAGCAGGCTCTCGTGCAAGGGGTCGGCAGCGTCGGCCTTGGCCATGGTATGGGCAAGAACAAGCAGCCCTGCCACACGCGCCGAGTCGTCGTCCTGTTCCAGGAGGTACAGGCATCGTCTGGCAAGCTCGTCCATGGGCAGCAGAGGGCGAGGAGGGGGAAGGAGGGGAGGGTGGAGTTGAGTGGCGTCAAGTCGGGCGGCGAGCACTGCGGAGGGAGGAGGTCCTCGGCCGTCTGGGCACAGAGACTGCGGGGGGGGGGGCTCCAGGGGTACAACGTCACGTAGCAGAGGCGGACCAGAGGCAGATCGGGCTTGGGGAGTGCAAGGGAGAGACACTCGAGGGTGGTATTGGAGAGCGAGTGAGGCGGCTGCGTGCCGCGATTGATAGCCTTGGCCAAGGCCATGGCACAAACATTCAATTATGTTGATCAATGCTGTTGAGCTACTCGTCGTCGTCGTCGTCGTCGTCTTCATCAAACGGATCCCGCGATTTGAAAAAGGTGTAGGAGAGGGTGATGAGGTTGACGTCGTCCATGCGCGGATCGTCGACGATGGACGGGTCGACGTAGAAGAAGACAGGCATGTCGACCTCCTCGCGCGGGTTGAGCCGCTGCTCTTCAAAGCAGAAGCACTGGACCTTGTGAAAGTACTTGCCGGTCTTCTGCGGGGTGACGTTGTAGGTGGCGATGCCGATCATGGGCTCGTCGGTGTTGTTGGTGGCGGTAAAGCAGGCGAGGACGGTCTGGCCCGGCACAATGCGGATCTCGCGCTGCGTCGGCACAAACTTCCACGGCATACCGGCAGCAGTCTCGGCCGCAAACTGGATCCGCAGCTTGCGGTCGTCAACCGGCGTGAGCTTGGAGTAGTCGACGGCCTCGGCCTGCTTGGTTGTTCCGCCGTAGCCCGTCACCTGACAGAACATGCGATACAGCGGGACTGCCGCGTATGAGAGGCCAAAGGTTCCGACGAGGACGACACCCAGCCATGCCAGCGTGTTACTGTTGGCCGCAGACGTTCTCCGCCCGCCCTGTGGCCCACGGCGTGGCGGCGCGCCGCCTGCGCCCGGCGAAGTCGTCGTCGACATCGCCCGGCGTCCGCCCGAGCCACCCGAGCCCGAGCCCATCGCGCTCCGCGCCCCGCCTGCTCTGCTTCCCAAACCGGCCGAGAGGCGGGCGAGAAGGTGCGCCGGCTGCTGCTGTGCCGCCGATGCCGCCATCACCCGTCCCGCCCCGCCCAGCACACAAGCCGAGCCGGCCAGAGTCCGCGCGAGCCACGACGCGTCAGCCGCGCCGCAAGCTCCGCTCACACGCGCCGCGACGGAGGCAAGGGCCACACCCTGGCGGGCCAGACGGCTGGCACTAGCCATCCGCGAGAGCATTGTTGTCTCTGTCGGGGTCGAGTTGGGTGTTGGCTGTACTGTGTGCCGGCGCTGACCTGAGTATTACTGTCCGGTGGCGACACGTGCTCGCCCGACCGCGGAGTTCAGCACCCTGTCAGGACCTCCTCGCCGACGGTGCTTGGCGTCGAGAGATGGGAATCTGGCAGGGTACTGTGCAAGGGAGATGGAGATCCTGTCTTGGGCGCGCGGTGGAGTCATGGAGCGGGTCCTCCGCGCCGGCCCACACCAGCGCTGCAAAGGCGCGCACGCATGGGACGGCAGGTGGATCAGCCTTACGCGAGGCGGCAGCAGTCTCGGCTTGGCTGCGCACGGCATCGGCATCCGTGAATGAGTCGGCCCGATTCGCAGCGCATCAGTCCGCCAGCCGGCGGCCCGAGCCCCACGAGTGGCCGCGGGGCGGGCCGCCAGCGGGCGGGGGAACTGCGCCGGGGCGTGCAAAGGGAGCGGCACCGCTGACGGCGGCGCCGCCAGTGGGCGGGATGAGGTTGGTGAGCCACTGCGGAGTGTTGAGGTACTGGACGCCGCCCGGCGAGAGCGGATAGAGGTCGTGCAGAAAGTAGTACAGGTGGCCCGCGGCAATGCCGAGCAGTTGGACGATGGGCGAGCCGCCGAGCAGGACAGTAAGGGCGCAGAGCGCCCACGGCAGGTACTGCGACTTGAAGGTGATGCCAAACATGAACGAGACGTCCATGCCCATGTTCCGCTGTGACCAGAGGTAGATGACGGACATGATGAGGGCCATGCCGAGGACTGGAAGGCCGAGGCCCCAGCCGGCGACAATGAGCGCCGAGCCACACACCAAGAGCATGTACACGTAGTCTGCCGGGCGGCCGTCAAAGCTCTGGTTCTCCAGATTGGTCGAGTAGCGGTAAAAGTACATGGTGTTCATGAGGAAGGGGAAGCCGAGGCGGCCCATGAAGAAGAAGCAGGTCACCAGCCGCCACACCTACTCCCCTCATCGGCCAACGCCACAGATACCACAGGCACAGGCACACCACATACGCCACATATGCTCCGTGTGAGTTCCGTCCCTCTCTCTCTCTCTCTCTCTCTCTCTCTCTCCCGCGCGCCCCCTCCCATCCGCCTTTCTATCTGCCTCTCCCCCCCCCCCCCCCCCCCCCCCCCCCCCCTCTCCCCTCCCTACCTTGGGGGGGGGAGGGGAGCCTGTTCCTTCCCGCTGAGGTCACCAGGCGGTCGCCTTGTCGTCGGCGAGTTGGGGCGGTAGTACGTACATGGAAGCGCGACCAGACGAGCTTCAGGTCCAGGAGCAGGTACTGCGGAGGGATAAGACCAAAGTTACCGCCAAGAGTGAGGACAAAGATGGCCACAAGCATGTACCGCGTCACGGGCGGCATGCGCTGCAGGAACGAGTCCATGGCCAGGTGCGGTTGAGTCCGGCGCGAGTCGAGTGGCTCATCACCGCAAGCCACCTGCCGCAGGACATCTGCGAGCCGGCTGAGTGGTGTGGTACGTGGTGCTCTGTACGATCTCAGGCACAACCCATGTCAGCCTCCTCCCATGTCCAATGCCCACCCGATCGCTCGATGCTAGTCCTTCATGCCCATCCCCCCCCCCTCTCGTCAGTAGTGCTGCCTCCCCCCTCCCGGCCACCTCACTCTCGCACCGTCCACACACACACACACTCTCTCTCTCTCTCTACACTGTACACTATGCGCAAGCTGGATAGCCTCCCCTCGCCGCTGGCAGACGCGGCAGTGGAGAGCGTGGAGACGGAGCGGGCGGCAACCGAGTTCTCGGTCGAGGCGCTGACGCACGTGCTGGACGGCGGGGCGGCGGCGACGGCGGAGCGGCGAGCGGCGTGGCGGGCGTTTGCCGCCGATCCGGTTCTCAACGACGGCCTCGAGAGGTTTACCATGCCGCTGAAGGAAGAGCGTGCGCTATCGACCGCCAAGCTGTTCCGGCTGGCGGACATGCTGTCGGCGGCGCGGGCAGAGGCGGGCGAGGGCGAGGCGGGCGAGGCCGAGCTGGTGCGCCTGCGGCGGAACCTGATGCGGGCGCTGGAGGTCTTTGATCCTTCGGTCGCCATCCGGGCCTTTGTGCAGCATGGCTTGTGGATTGGGACGCTCAAGAACCAGGGCACGCCCGAGCAGCAGGCCAAGTGGCTGCCTGGCGCCGAGGACTACCGCATCATCGGCTGCTTTGCCATGACTGAGCTCGCCCACTCATCGTTCCTTCGCGGTGCCGAGACGCGCGCTGAGCTTGACGTCGATACTGACGAGTTTGTCATCTCGTCCCCGTCGCTCACAGCCACCAAGTGGTGGATTGGCCAGGCCGGACAGATTGCCACGCACGCCATCGTCTTCGCCAACACCTTTTTGCCCAACTCTGCCGCCGGCATCCAGCTGTTTGTTGTCCCTCTCCGTGACGCTGCCACCGGCAAGCCGCTACCGGGCATCACCATCGGCGACATCGGACCCAAGTTTGGCCGCCACGGAAACGACAACGGGTTCATCTCGTTCGACGCCGTCCGCGTCCCACGATTCAACATGCTCGCCCGCTGGGCGAGCGTCGAGAGCGACGGCTCTTTTATCCCGCCGCCCAACCCGGCGCTAGCCTACGGCTCTACCATTCTTGAGCGGGTCTCGTCGGTCGGCTCGGCGGCCGACTATGCCTCACAGGCACTCACAATCGCCATCCGGTTCGGCGTCGCCCGCCGCCAAGGCTCGGGCCACGTCGGCTCGTCGCCGTCGGCGCCCGAGCCGCAAATCATGGACTACCAGTCGCACATCTGCGGCCTCATTCCTCATCTCGCCACCTGCTACGCCGTCTTTTGTACTACCGCCCGGGTCGAGGCCGGCTACAACGCCATGGTCGCCGACCTTCAAGCCGGAAACACCCTCGGCTTCCTAGCTCCGCTCGCCGACATGCACGCCACCTCGTGCGGGCTCAAGACCGTCTGCACCTGGTGGGCTTCGGATGCCCTTGAGGCCTGCCGTCGGTCGATGGGGGGCACGGATATCACGCGTACTCGGGTATGTCCCGTCTCATCACGGACTTTGGCGTGCTCACCACCGGCGGCGGTGACAACATCGTCATTGCACAGCAGACGGCCCGCTACCTGGTCAAGATCTACTCGCAGGTGCACGGCATTGGCCACAGTGGTTCGCGTCGCGTCCCGCCGGGCGACTCGGTGGCGTACCTGCTCGACGCGTCGCTACCACGCTTTGACTCGCTCGGCGCACTGGTGGCCGAGGCGCACAGTCTCGACGCTCTGCTCGTCGGCATTCAGCAAGTTGCTGTGGCAAAGATTGGAGCTGCTGCCACCCGCCTCCACTCGGCCATGATTGTCGACGGGATGTCCAAGGGCGAGGCGTGGAATGCGTGTCTGATGGATCTGGTCGACGCTGTTACCGCGCATTGCACCGCGTACATGATGGAGTCGTTTACCGCCTTTGTGGCCGCCCGCGAGGCCGAGGGCGTCGACGACGCCCTGATCCAGGTCCTGACCACGCTCGCGCGGCTCTTTGCACTCCGCTACGCCTCCGAGCACACGACGTGGTTTATCGAGGCCAACATGCCTGCAAAGTCGTCCGACGCCATCAGCAGCCTACGCCGCGCCGTCGAGTCTGTCGCCAGCAGCCTCCGGCCGTCGGTCATCGGACTCACCGACGCGTTTGACTACCCGGATGAACTCCTACGCGCTCCGCTCGGTGTCAAGTCTGGCGACGTGTACCGCGAGTACTACCGCGCCGCGTCCACCAATGCGCTGAACGAGCCGTCGGGCGTTGCCCCGTACTGGCGCACGCTTGTCTCGCCGCGGCTGCTCCAGTCCAAGCTGTAGCCGCCCTGTAGAACGTAGTCATGTCCCCTTGCGGAAAGCAGCAAAATAGTCTTGGTGGGGATGCGATACCGAGATGGGGGCAGCAGCTAGCGGCGTGGATGGGCGCGACGAGGACGACGACGACGGTCGGTGAGCCTCCGACGAGGCACCCGCCGCTGATTCGAGTGATGTGTGCGGCGGCTGTGCTTGCGCTGGCGGATGCTCAAGGATGGCCTGGATGTTGCGAAGCAGCGTCTCGTTAGCAGCGAGAGACGCTGTCGCAGCCAGGCGCGCCGGGCGGTCGAGGACGGTCGAGCCATCGTAGCGAATGACGACGTGGTCTTGGATGGCGTTGTGCACAAAGGAAAGGACCGAGTCGCGAAGCGAGGCAAGCGCTGCGTACGCGTCGGTGAGCCGAGTAACGTGGTCCTGCTCCATAACAAGCTGAGTCCGGAGGCCAGCATTTTCCAGTTCGAGCGCAGTAAGATCGTCCGAGGCCGAAGGCGAGGCACCGGCGCGCGACAAGGACCGCGAGGCGCCGGAGACCCTGCGCTGGCGGATGGGCGCCGAGGCAGGGCGGGCAGCGGCGCCGTCGCCGGTAAATGAAGCCTGATATTCGGCCTGAGCAGCGAGCTTTTTGAAGCGGACAACACGCAGGGCGAGCTCGTCGCGCTCCTCGACGAGTGAGAGGTTGGAGGTGCGGAGCGAGGCGTTGCGGGCTTTGAGCTTGGTGTTAGCGGCGTCGAGAGCCACAGCCTGCGTGGTGAGCCACTGGAGATGCTGGCCGAGCGCCTGGGCCTTCTCCATCCACTCGTTCTTCGACTGCGAGGCGTCCGTGAGACGATCCATCTCCATGTTGACGTTGATGATGCGGGCGTTGAAAGCGGTGAGAAGCTCCTGCTCGCGCTCATCGCGCTCGACTTCAGCCTGCTCCTGGATGGCGGTGAGTGAGTCGCGGATCTTTGCATTGAGCGCGTGCAGAGTCCCCATGCGGGTGTCCTCCGCGGCATGCAGCTTGAGCTTGGCCAGCTCGGCGTCCTTGTCGGCGAGCTGCTGGCGGAGCCGGTCCTCCTTACGAGCGTAGGTCTGGGCGCGTCGGCGCTGCTCGTGGCGCTGGCGTGCGTTCTCCTGCGCAAGCGCCTTGACCCGCAGCGCAAGCACCTCATATCGCTCGCGCAGCTCACCGAGGTTGTACGTCTCGCTCATGTCCGGCGCCGCGGCCGCAAGCACAGGCGCCACCGCTCCGGTGTCGTGCGAGCCCTCGGCGGCCAGCGCACCGAACCGCTCCGACTGCACCTCCAGCGACCTGTGCAGCTTGGCCGACAAGGCCCGCATCCGCTGGAGCTTTGGTGACGCCGACACTTGCAGGGCCGAAAGCACGCCGCCCGCCGAGGTTGATGCACCTATGCCGCTGCCTGGGCTTTCGCCTGCGCCTGCTGCGCTACCGCCCGTTGCCGCGCGACAGCCGCCATTCTCAGGCGACGGTGGCCGGTGCCGTAGCGCGTCTAGCGCTGCCGTGTCGATGCCCTCTGCAAACCGGACGCGGCCAGGTTCGGACATGGCCTTGTGGGATGTGGGGAGAAGAGTGGCCGCAACTGGGCGGGCGTGGTTGGTGTCGCGGAGGCGGGACCCGTAGTCTGGCGGCATTCACCAGACTGACAACCTCTCGGGTTGGCTGCGGCTCGCGATTTATACTCCCATGTAAGAGGGTCGACATACGCTATGAGTTGAGGCGGCAAAGGAGTAAAACTCAGGCGACCGGGGAGGGCTTGAACTCAAGCCAGACTTAGAGTGCCTCAAAGTAGTCCTTGAGAACACCGCAGGCCTCGACGGCAACGTCGGCATCGATGCCCGAGTAGGCAAAGCGGATGTAGCAATCGGACTCGCCGTCGATGGTGCGGCCAAAGTGCTCGCGGGTGGTGAACGAGACGCCAGTGTCGGCGAGGATACGCTGGCGGAAAGCCTCAAGGTCGGCGACGCCCATGCCCATCTTGGCCATGGCCTCGGTGACGTTGATGAAGAGGTAAAAGGTCGAGGTCGGCATGTGGCACTTCCAGCCCGGGATAGCGTTGATGGCCGGAACGAGGGCGTCGCGGCGCTCCTTGAGGGTGGCGACGATGGCGCGGCAGTCTTCCATCGCGGCCGGGTTAGACAGCGCCTCAGCGGCGGCATACTGCACAAAATGGGTGGTGCAGGCCTCGGCATTGGTGTTGAACTTGGTGATGGCCTTGATGACAGACTCGGGCCCGATGGCTGCACCGCAGCGCCAGCCAGTCATGGCCCACGACTTGGAGCAGGTGAAGAGGATGACGGTTCGTTCGGCCATGCCTGGCTGCGACGCGATTGACTTGGCCTCGATGTCGTAGACCACATTCCAGTAGGCCTCGTCCGAAAGGACCCAGACGTTGTGGGCGACGGCCATGCGGGCCAGGCGCTCGAGCTCCTCCTCAGAGGCGGCGTAGCCGACCGGATTGGCGTAGTTGTTGAAGATGAGCACCTTGGTCTTGTCCGAGAACTTGGCCTCGAGCGCGTCAAGGTCGAGCGAGAACCCGTCAGGCCCGTCGACAAAGCCGTACGGCACACACTTGCCGCCCAAGTACGAGATCTGCGACTCGTAGATCGGGTAGCCCGGCGAAGGATAGAGCACCTCGTCGCCTTCCTCCAGCACTGCCGCCAGGAACTTGCCGATCACGGGCTTGCCGCCCGGCTGGACCGACACGTTGTTGGGACCGTACGACACCCCGCGCGTCGACGAGATGTGCTTGGCGAGCGCCTCGCGAAGCGGCGGGATGCCTGCGGCCGGGCAGTACCCGGTCTTGCCGTCGTCTAGCGCTTTGCGCGCCGCATCCTTGATGCACGCCGGCGTCGAAAAGTTGAGGTCGCCGATGTGCATCGGGTACACCTTCTTGCCTTCCGCGATCAGCGCCTTGGCCTCCAGAGCAACTGAAATATTTGTATCGACGGCGACAAGGCGTGAGTCGGTCGTGCGGACAGCAGTCCCCCCCCCCCCCATCCCCCATCCCCCATCCCTAGCCAAAGTACAACACAGTCAAATCATACGTACCAGCATATGCCGTCTCGGTCCCCAGCTTGCCGAGCGACGATGAAAGCTGCAGGCTACGTGGTGTGTGTGGTGTGGTGAGTGGCAAGGTGCGCGTGCGATCAAAGCCGGGGAGGGGGGGTAAAAGGGAAACGGGGGAAGGAAAGGGGAATGGGGAGGGGAAGAGAGAGGATACCGTGGGAGCACACACACCCTTCATTGCCCTGCCCCCTTCCCTCTCCTTCCCCTCCCTGGTCTCCCTCGCTAGCCCCGAACAACACACTATGTCGACTTGGCATTCTCCCCCAGGCACACCCCCTCCCCTGCCCCCTTCCCCCCGTCTCTCACCGCCACCTCAGCCCCACCCCCACCAACCCCACAACCGCACAACCCACAACCCCAATCCCCTCCCCCCTTCCTCCCTCTTGCTCATCACATACTTATCAGCAGAAGAAGCCATAGTGATTAGTTCAAGATACAGCGACAGGTGTGTCCGTGCCCATGCTCCACCACCGTGTCTCGTGTGCTCGCCCACGCAAGCTGCGCCGTGCACACATCACCATTCACGCTCTTCCGCAACTCGATTCAATCATTAGCGGCCTCGGAGGCGGGTACGTGTGCAGAGCACTCCACGTCCGGAATTAGTTATCATCGATCGCCACAGCGAAGGCACACGGCTCTACGAGGTACGAGGTACGGTTGGAGAGGTCGGTGACGAGGCGCGGGTGCGGGACAAGCGCGTCCTCGATGTCGCCCCAGTTGCCGTCGTACCACTCGATGGTGGCCTTGAGGCCAGCCTCGAACTCAATCGACGGCGCCCAGCCGAGGGCCTCGAGTCGAGCCGATGAAATGGCGTAGCGCGAGTCGTTGAACTTGCGATCTTCGACAAACTCGACGGCGTCGTCAGTAAACTCGCGGCCCATGACCTTGTACAGGACCTTGGTCAGCTCGAGCATCGAGAGCTCAAAGGTGGTACCAATGTTGTAGACCTCGCCGATGGCACCGCGGTGGAGGATGACGTCAAAAGCGGCGGCAACGTCCTGCACGTGCAGGAAAGAGCGCTGCGCCGAGCCGTCGCCGTGGAGGCAGCACTTGCGCCCACGCATGATGAGGTTGACAAACTTGGGGATAACCTTTTCTGGGAACTGCCGCGGGCCGTACACGTTGTTGCCGCGGGTGATGATGATCGGCAGGTTGTATGACTTGTAGTATGCCATCACCAGGTGCTCCGCTCCGGCCTTGGCCGCCGCATACGGCTGCGTCGGGCGCAGGATCGAGTCCTCGTCGAGGTGGTCGCCCTCGCACTCGCCGTACACCTCGTCCGTCGAGACGTGCACAAACCGCCGGATCTTGCCGTATGCCTTGGCAGACTCGAGCAGGACGTGCGTGCCGTGCACGTTGGTCACCGTGAACTGGATCGAGTTACCGAACGAGTTGTCCACGTGCGACTGCGCCGCAAAGTGCATGATCGTGTCGATGTTCTCAGACTCGAGCACGTACGTCACGAGCTCTGCGTTGAGGATGTTGCCCTTGATGAACTTGTAGTTGTCCGCGCTCTCGATCGACTCGAGGTTCTTGAGGCACGCGCAGTACTCGAGCGAGTCGTAGTTGACCCAACGGACCTCGGGGTACTTTTCCACCAGGTGGATGAGGACGTTCGACCCACTACGCGCGCAAGTGGGAGGGTGAGTATGCGTGCGCGTGTGTGTGTGAAGGGGTGAAGGGAGGGGAGGGGGGAGGCAGGCGTGGGGGGAGGGGAGCCGCGGTCGCGCTCACTCGACAGACGGCACCCGCCCGGGCTGCGGGCTTCGGGCACTTGCTGTCGGTGCGAGAAAACCGCGAGTGGAGCCTTGAGGCCTTGCTGGCAGCACGACGGCAGCCTCGGCCACCGCCATGGCATGTGGTGTGGATGTGGAGGGCGAGGCGGGGCGGAGGCGGCGGGCGAGAAGGGCGCAAGACATGCCGCGTCTGCCGCCGCGGGCTGCGGAGTGCATGACGGAATAGGAGCAGGTCTGCAGTGCGGGCAAGTCGCAAAATGGACGGATGTCGGGGGATGCATGGCTCGGGCACCGCCACGTGGGGGGGCAGCGGTGCCGGCAGCATGTGCGGTGCAGGGCAAGTGCTCTCAGGCGAGTACCGCCGTTGTTGTCCGGATAAGTGCTGGCTGCCGCTCGCTCAACTGGGGACGTACATGAAGCCTGCGCCGCCGGTGAGGAGCACCGCCTTGGGCTTGTACTCGTCGGCCATGGCTGCAGGAGTAAGAAAAGCGTTACTTTCGCTGGCGAGCAACGAGATCGGCGAGTCAATTCCGACTGATGAGCACGACGATGCCGGGGAAGGGCCTCGCGACGTGACCCGCGCCATAGGAGCAGGCGCCGACCTGGAGGAGCAAAGAGACACGTGTAGCGCCACGAGAAGGCGATATCATCCGCTTCTCTCCCCTCTATCGCACCTTATTGCCAGACTCGAGGGCTGCGCTGTGTTTCATCACTATTTACACACTACAGCCACGGCTGCCACGAGGGCGGCATCGACGCCAGGTTACTGGCGGACGTTGCCGAGTCGATGAGCGCCTGGACCTGGGAGTCGAGGGCCACGGGCGCGTCGCCAGGCATGTCCTTGGGCGTGGCAGCGACGGAGGTGAGCTTTGAGGTAAAGGTCTCGACGTTGGTCTTGATGGCAGCGCGGAGCGCGTCCGGCGAGGCAACGACGGCTGAAGGCTCAGCGGCGTCGGTCAGCTCCTTGGCAGAGGCACCGCGGCGCGACTTGGTGGCCTTGTGGGTCTTGGCGTCGTCAGCATCGCCGCCCGCTACCGGGAAGTGGCCTAGACGCGCCAGCAGCTCCTCGCGGTAGAGGAGGCGCATGACGACGCCGACGTTGACAGCCGGCTCGACGAGGACCCGCGCGGCGGCGAGCATAGCGGTACGGTAGACGCCGTTGAGGCAGATCGGGCCGAGGAACGAGGTGAGGTTCGGCGTGAGGCGGAAAGGAACCGGGGAGGTTGCGCCAAGCGCGCCCGTTTCGGCGTCGAGCGGCAGCGGCGACATGCCGGTCGGCACCACTTCGCCCGACTGGAGCGAGAAGAGCACGTCGGCGGCCTTGCGCGGCTTCGCGCCGAGTGCATGCCGGACGAGCGAGGTGAGAGCGAGATGGACCGCAAAGTGCTTCTTGAAGGCCCACAGGTGCGCCGGGTTCGGGAACGACTTGGCCACGAGCCGCGCCAGCGCCGACGGCGGCACGATGTCGCGCGAGACGTCACGCCAAGCAACAACACGCGATGCAATGTCGTCGCCCGACTCGCCGAGCGCGTCGCGGAAGGCGCGGATGCCGGCATCGATTGGCTGGCCCGACCGTGCGCCCGCATGCACCAGTGCCTCTTGCAGCGAGGTGACCAGGAGTGCGTTCTGGGTCAGCGCGGCTGTGCCGAGGAGAGGGACCACCTGCGGCACGAAAAGGCGACGCCGCGCTTGCGTGTCTCCTTCCGCGACCGGAGGACCTTGTTGAGGACTCGGAGCGCCTGCATGAGCCGCATCTCGGCGGCGGCGACCTTGGCGTCGTGCGCGGTGACGACAAACGGCACCAGCTTGCCCGACTCGCCGCGGAAGACAACCTGGCGAACAGTGGCAAAGTTGCGCCGCATGACAGTCACCTCCGAGTTGATCCGCTCGAGCGAGATGTGGTTCGTCGGCTCGACGCCGCCCTCGTAAAACTGGCCAGGCACCTCGACCATGAGGTTCTCAAACGCCGCGAGCTTGGGCGAGAGCTGGACAAGGTCCTGTGACGGCGGATGAGCCTCGACCCGTGCCTGCAACAGTGGCAGCCACTTGCGGAGAACAGCCTCGAGCTCGCCAACGGTGCCAGCGGAAGCCACGTCAGCCGTGAACCGCGCCGAGTAGCGGGTGGCAAACGTGGCGTCGGTGGCCGCAGAGTGCAACGGCGACGGAGGAGCCGCCTCACCAAACGTGCCCGCCACCAGCGCCTCGGCCTTGGCCGCCAGCTCGCCGGCGACAGCAGTGTCGCTCGGCAGCGCGGCCTCGTACACGTCCTCGAGCAGGGCGTGGCACGTCGCAAAGAGGCGCTCCGGCAGGGACGGTCCAAACGCGAGATTGAGCTCGGTGGTGAGGAGCCACAGGTCGGCCACAAGGAACGGGTGCTGGCAAATCATGCGAGTCTCGATCTCAAGCAGGACTCCAAGGCCGGCCGGCGCGCCACTCGGGATCGAGTGCAGGTCGGCCAGGACCGCGTTCTGTGCTATCTTGGCCTTGGCCTCGGCCTCGTCCTTACGCTTCTTGCGGTCCTCAACGTTCTTTCTGGCCGACTCGGCGTTGCTCTTGGCGGCAACAGCCTGGACTTCGGCTTGCTTGGCCGACTCGGTAAGCGCGGCGGCGTCGGGCGCGTTGGCGGCGGCGGCGGCCTGTGCCTTGGTCGCCGTCTGTATGGCAGCTTTCTGGGTAGCAGCGAGCTTGCGCGTCGCCTTGGCGTACTTCTCGTTTTGGACCTGGCACGCCGAAATGGCAAAGTGCAGCGTGGCTTGTCGGTGCAGGAACTCCACAAGGTGTTCCGACCGCGACTCGCGGAGCGCCACGAGCTGTGACTCCATCCCCGCGTCGGACGCAAGCTGCGCGATGGCCATCTGCAGGTCGTAGTAGAGCGCCTGCGGGTACTCGCGGCCGATGCATGCAAGCAGTCCCTTGGCCGATCGAGAGGCAACGCCGAGGACCAGCCCGTCGAGCAGCTGCGGAATCCACGGGATCCAGGCGTAGGTCGGCACCGCGGCGGCGTACTTGGTGATGGCCGCATCAAGCGTGCCATCGGCGTCGTCAAAGCCGAGGAGCCACACCAGCCGGGCCAGGTAGCGCTGCGACCAGCCGGGACCTTCAGCGTCGCCGGCGTTGGCAGCTGCAAAGGCGTACGCAGTCACAGCCTGGGTGGCAAACGACATCGACCGCGCTTGCGGCGACATGGCGTCGGCCGCAGGCTCAACCGCGTTCGGCCCGGCGAGGCGATCCAACGCAGCCGTGTCGTTCGAGCCGCTACTCCCCCTCGCCGCAAGGATCGAGAGCTCGTGCAGCTTCTCACAAAACTCACCCCAAGCGCCCCAGCCCTTGGCCAGCGTGTCGCAGACCGAGAGCGCGGTGGAAAACGCCGAGTTGGCGGCCTCCAGCTCGCCCATGGCAGCGAGGAACTCGCCCTTGAGCTCGAAAAACTCGGCCTTTTGGGTATCGCCAAAGTAGTCCAGGTTGGTGTTGTTGATGATGCCGAGGCCGGCGCGCAAGTCCTTGGTCAGGTCAAAGTAGCACTTGGCCTGCTCCTTGAGCTTGACAAAGGCCTCCTGGATCTCAATGTTGGGCAGGGTGTAGATTTTGGAGAGCGAGTTGAGGCAGACGTCGAGGAGCTGGTGCTTGCGCGCGACGTGCGCAAACCGGTTAATCGTCCACGCAGTCTCATGGTAGCCCATGTACGCCAGCGCAGGGTTGCTCTCCACAAACTGCTGCAGCGTGACGTTGATGGCGGCAAAGACGTGGTGCCGCCACTGGGTCAACTCGTTCCACACGTACAGGTCGTCCCACTCGTTCGGCAGCCGCTCACGCCAAGTGTTGAGAATCGACTTGAGCTCCGGGACTGAAGCCCGCTGGTCCGTCCGTGTGATTGAGGTATGAACCTGCGCAGACTCAGTCAGCTCCACAAATTGCTGGAACTGCTGGAGCAGCGGAATGTGCGAGACGCCGACCACGGCAGGCAGTGAGATCCAGTGGTGGAGGCAGAGCTGCTGCAGCTCGATGCAGTACTTGTCCACATCCTGCGGCGCAGACTCAAAGATGGCGACGTAGATCTGGTAGATTTTGCGCTGCGGCGTCTCGCGGCGGACCTGTGTCTGCGCAAGAAGCTCCTTCTCCAGCGCCCAGTCGCCAGACTTCCACGCTGCCTCGAGGAGGAGCGGTGCGAGTTCGGCCTCGGCCGCGTACTTGGTGATGATGTCCCACTGATTGAGCTGTCGTGAGCACCGGATCCAGTGCTCCTCCCACACCGCCAGCTCGGCGGCCGAGACCGGCTGGCGGGCCGCCGCAGACTGCGCCGCGGTCATCGTCGCAAAGTAAATGTCCTGCGCTCGCTGATACAGCCCGTGCTGCTCATACGACATGGCGGCAAGCGTCTCGGGCTTGACGTCGCGCAGCGACCACACGCCGTAGCACGCGTCCGACTCGTTGAGCGCCTCGTAGACTTGAACCAGCGCCTCGAGGTTCGCCTCGCGGGTCTTGGCAGCCTCGGCCGACTCGACCGGCTTGGCCGGGCGCAAGGCCGTTGCCGCAGGCTTACCAGCCTCAACCACGTCCATCGGCGCGGGCGAGTCGGAGCTTTCGGCTGCAGGCGCGGAGAACGCATGCGAGCCGTCGGCGACTGCCGCTTCCTCAAACATGGAGATGGCGGTAAACCAGGCGTTGAACTCGATGCCGAGGTACTTGACGAGCTCGACCGGAATGTCGATCGGCGGCGAGACTCGCGAAATGCCCTCAAGCAAGGCCTGGATCACGTTTGGCTGCGAGGAGCGCTGCATCTGGTGATACGGCTGCGAGAGCAAGTAGGTAATGTGCTGGGCGAGGAGGTCCTGCAGCGGCTTGTCGAGCGCTGACCAGACAACCGGGAAGAAGCGGACCCAGAGGTAGAAGGCCATGTTCGGGTTCTGATGGCAGAGCTCGCGGATGGGCGCCACAAAGTCAGCCAGCTTGACTGCGCGCATCTTGTCGAGCGCCGCCGCATGTGCATCGAGGAGCTCGGTGACACCGTCAGTACGGGTCGGCAGCAAAGCCGCCGACGGCAGCGACGAGTCGCCGATCCACGACGGCGGCGAGACAGACTCAAGTGTGGGCGCTTGCGGCGCAGCGGCCTTGCGGCCCTTGCGGCCGCCGCGCGCCTTGCCCGGTGCACTCCCGCCGGCAGCCTCGGTGAGGGCGGTAGTGTGCGCGGCAAGCATGGGCGCGTGTTCGAGGAGCGACGGGAGGAGGGCCGAGTCGTCTGAGAGAGCAAGCGGAGCGTCAAGGTCGAGGACCGAGAGCAGGACGTCGAGCGCCTGCTTGATCCAGAACGCGTTGCCGAGCGACTCCCACGACTGGACCGAGAGAATGTACGAGATGCGGCCCTCGAGTGTGCGCGACATGGAGCGGTCAAAGATGGCAAAGAACTTGGTGCGAACGGTCGGATTGTGCGACTTGAGGCCCATCATAAACGCTGGCTCAAGCTGGGCGGTGAGCTCAGTGCGCTGGAACGCCGGGTTGGAGTAAATGTGGTGGACAAGGTTGAGAAAGTCGGTGTAGAGCGGGGCAGCCTGAAAGTGCTCAAAGCACATCATCTTCACAAGGACAAGCGTCTTCTCCTTGGACGTCGGGTAGAGCGAGTCCGAGTCGTCGATCCAGCCGCGCACGACGCCGGTGATCTTGGAGAGGAGGGTGATGTCGTTGGACTTTTCGATAAGGACCACGAGGAACTTGAGGAACGTATACCGCTGCTCCGAGCCCATGGTGTTGATCCGGGTGTTGATGAGGGTGATGGTCGAGATGAGAGCCTGAACAACAGTCGAGTGGTGGTCGTTCGTCCGCGGCTGAACCGACTGCCCACGGTACTGCTGGTCGATCATCTGCTGGACGTAGCGGACGTGCTCGGAGAGGAGGCGCGACATAACGTCCATGAGCGAGGTGAGGAACGGGACAAGAACCTCCGAGTGGTCGGCGGCGACGGTCTCAAGCACCAAGACCGAGCCGATGAGGAACGAAACATCGTTGCGACTCTGGGCGGCCTTGATAAACTTGTAGATTTCGTCGTAGAACTGGCGGACGTGCGGGTCGGGCGAGACCGGTGGGAACGGCTCGCGGAGGTGCTTGAGGAAGAGCGAGAGCCGCGAGATGGTCCGCAGGTCCGAGAGCTTGAACAGGTCGCGGACAGCGTTGAGGAGATGGTGCAGCGCCCGCGGGGTGTACCACTTCTTCTGCCGCGAGACAACAATGTTGAGGATCTCCATGGCGGTGAGAATAGTCTGGGCGTTGGTCTGTTGCGAGTTGCTGAAGAGCTTGTTGAAGAACGACCACTTGATCTCGGCCTTGGGCCAGATGCAGAGCGCGCGGCGGAGGAGGATGACGCAGCGGTGGGCCAGCGACATGAGGTTGGCCTCGTTGTGGCCAACGCAGAGGCAGGCGAGGCGGATGAGCGCGTTGACTACCATGCTCGTAATGGCCGCCTGCTGCTTGGGGTTCGACGCAGCCTTGGCGGCGTCGACCACGACCTGCGCTGCGTCTGCCTTGGCCGCGGCGCGGACTGCCAGCTCATGCAGCGAGAGACCCTCGGTCTTGTCGTCGTCGCCGCCAGCCGTGCCGTCCGAAACGTCCTTGGAGCGAGTCGACTTGGCCCGCTTGGAGGCGGCGCGCGATGGGCCGGGTGCAGCAGCAGCAGCGACAGCGTCCGCCGGTGACGGCGACCGCTTACGCTTGCCAAGGGCGGTCGCAGAAGCTGTGGAAGATGACGGCGGTGCTTTGCCAGCCGCGAGTGCGGCAGCGGCGGCGGCGGCCTCAGCAGCGGCGGCAGCGGCGGTCTCGGCCTCTTCGAGCTCACGAGCTGCGCGGTGCTCCCACTCGACAATGATCTCGGCGAGCGAGACGGCGAGCTTGCGCTGGTCAAAGCTCGCCGACTTGGGGATGCCGATGCGGGTGAGCGAGTTGACCATTTGCGGGACAAACTGGGCGCGGGTCGCGTAAAAGATGTCAGCGTGGCGGACGACAAGGAACCAGATGTGGATGAGCTGGAAGGTGTCGTGGCCTTCCTCGACCACAATCTTCTTGGTCCACTTGACCCACGGTGGATAGCGGTGGTCACCGGCCGGGAGGCGATGCGGAAGGGCAGGGGTGAGGATGTCTAACGCCTGCTTAACGAGCAGGCGGGCCTCGGGCTGGTGGGCCTTGAGCAGCGAGACGTAGACCTGTAGAATGACCTTAGTGGGTGTATCGTACTGCTCGATGAAGCGACAGACGAGGACATAGCCGCAGAAGCGGGCGGTAAAGTCGACAGAGCGGAGGTGTGACCATGCAAAGCGAATGACGTTGCGGCGGTTGTTGACGACAAGCGAAGAGCAGTTGATGACAAGGAGCGTGGCAAGCTGCAGCATCTGAATGCAGAGCTCGTCCGAGGCGGCATGTGCTGGCTGCGGCTGGGCAAAGATCTTGATGACCGAATCCATGATGTCGGCGTCGAGCAAGTTGGCCTGTCCGGTCTCAAACGAGATGGTGAGCATGGGGATGATGAGGTGCTCAAGCATGACCACCTTGCGAGCGTCGGCGACGGACGACTTGGAGAAGTCGTCCAGGAAGGTGGTGAGGAGCGCACGCTTGGCCGCCAGCGGGTAGTGGCGCGCAACGGTGGTGAGAAGAAAGTCCTTGAGGAACGAGTAGTCCATGACCGTCCGCGAGGTGAAGATGGTGAGCATGGCAAAGAGGACTTGGACGCGGAGGTGGTCGTCGGTCGGCGAGAGGCCCGGCCCGAACATGGAGCCCTCATCAACTGCGGCGGGCGTTGTTGCTGGCGGCGGCGACTGAGCGGCGACATAAGGCTCAGACATGGCGCCCTTGTTGGCATCGCGGCTCGACTTGAGCATCAAAAGCGAGTGTGAGGCCGGGCGGTGGGGCTCTGGCACCTTGACGCCGTGGGAGCAGAACTGAATGAAGCACTCGATGATGTAGCGGGCCTGATGCATGTGGGTGATAGGGATGGTCTCCTCCAGGGCCGCGTGTGGACCAGAGCCGGCGTCCATGCCCTCGTTGAGGGCGCGCCAGGCAGTGACAAGAGCCTCGACAACAAGCGGCGTCGACGGAAGCCAGGACGGGTTGTCCATGGCGAGGGCGTGGACGATGCAGACAGCCTGGAACCTTGTTTCGGCAGCAACTTGGGCGTTGGTATGGTGCGAAGCTGAGGTGCGGAGGAGCTCGGCGAGGCGCTGCGGCATCTCAGTCATGGCGGTGCGGAGTTTCGGCGTGAGCGGCGAGTTGAGGATGTGGAGGAAGAGGGTGGAGAAGGGAGCCTCTGTGATGTGGTCGAGGAAGAGCTGCAAGATGCGGGTCGGGTAGCGATTGGCGTACTTTGCGAGCGGGCGACGGTACTCGTCGAGCGTCTGCTCGAGGGGCACGACCGACTGAAGCTGGATGGTGAGCGCGACGATGCGGTCAGAGAACTCTTCGCCGGGTGAGAGCTTGGCGTCCTGCGGGAGAAGATGGAAGACGTCAAGGATGGAGGCGGCGATGTGGTACGAGTTCGGCTTGGCCTCCTCGTCCGAGATGAGCTGGCGGGCGTGCTCAAGGAGGCGGCGGCCGAGCTTGTGGTGGAAGGCTGAGGCTATGACCTCGAGCAGGCGACCGAGGCGCTGCATGATGGCGACAGTGATCTCCTCGTGCGAGCGAAGGTGCATGAGAATGGGCTTGAGCGAGTCGTGAAGCAGCGCCTTGGCCGGCTCGCGGACGGCGACGGCATCCTTGAGGCCGTTGCGTACAATAGGCACGATGGCCGACGAGCCCATGGTGAGTGCCTTGAGAAAGACGGCAACAATGCGGTCGCGGGCGGTGCGGAAACTCTCCGTATCAAGGTCGTCCAGGGTGACGGCGGTGGCGAGGAGCTCGAGACAGGCCTTGCGAAGTGAAGGCAACTTCTTCTTTTGGGTCCGGTACACGGCTTGCGAGATAAAGCCGGCCTCGTCAAGCTCGGCCAGCTCGAGAACCTGATCCAGCATGGAGACAAACGAGGCGTTGGCCTTCAGCTCCTCGGGAGCATTAACAAGGCAGTAGCGGAAGGCGGCGAGCATGCCGACTTGGTCGTCAAACGGCAGAGCAGCCAGCGTAAACGAGGAGGTGATGCGCAGCTGTGGCATGAGCGGCGCAAGGAGTTGCGCAGGGGTGGTCGACCAGCCGGTGGCAAGCGCGCCGAGGAGCTTGGCTGCTTCTTCGCGGACTGGGAGGTACGGCGAGGCGAGCTCATGGGCGAGGATGGCGACAAGCTCGTTGCCTGTGGCGGTGACAGCCTCCTCGTCGAGATCGATGGTGACCGGATCAGTGTCGCCCGAGCGCGCGGCCTCAGTGTCCGCGGGCTTGGACGAGTTGGGAGCTCCGGGCTCCTCGGGAGCCTTTTCTTCGTCCATGGGTACGGCCGTGTCGGAGCCGACAGAGGGGCCGGGCGTCGCGGCAGGAGCAGAAGCCGGCGACGCCGCAGTGGGGCGAGGCAGCGGGGCGCCGTGGCACTTGTTGAGAAGGAAGCTCAGGAGCTCGATCGAGTCCTCAACAGTGTCGGCCGAGAGGTCGAGGGTGAGGGTGGCGAGGATGAAGAGGAGGGCCTTAACAAAGGCAGTCTCGCGGGCAAGAACCCAAGCGACCGGCATGGTGTGGACGAGGAAGCGAATGCCCTCGCAGCCACCAGCCTTGCGGTACCAGTTGTGGTGGTAGCAGCAGTGGATGAAGCGCGAGGCGAGTGTGTCAAACATGGGGTGCATGGAGACGACGGCGAGCGAGCCGCCAGCCATGGTGGTCATCATGCTCACCATTAGCGAGAGATACTCGATGGGCGGGCGGATCCATGTCCTGTTCTCGGCGGTGAGGAGAGCCACAACAGCGTCGACAAAGACCGAAACGTCGAGTGAGGTGAGGTCAGTGACGTGCGGAGAGTCGACGAGCGGTGCCGGCGAGCGCGCGAGAGCGAGGAGGGTGAGGTGACGGGTGACATCGGCAGCAAAGGCCTTGGCGTCGGCCTCGAGGTCACGATCGGTGGTGGCCACAAACGCACAGATGAGCAGGATCTTGAACGTCCGCGACTCGGCGATGTGGTGGTTCTGGGTCTTCTTCTTTCCCGCCTTGGCTGGAGCGGCGTCAGCGTGCTGCAACGAGCCGTCAGCATAGGCAAACGAGGCGGCCATGGAGGCGGCGGCGGCGGCGGTGGCCTCAAACTCAAGGTTGAGCAGTGAGTTGAGCTCCTCAGGCTCGAGCTCGTCGAGCGGGCGGCCGTCAAAGGTAAAAGCGACGCCTGTGGGGAGAGCCGACGAGGTGGCGGCTTCAAAGGCGTGAGCCTGCGATGCCGACGACGGCGAGGCGTCGAGCGGGCCGGCCCACAGAGTCCATTGGTAGTCGTCCGGCGAAAAGTCGAGCTTCATCATGGAGATGAGGGCGAGGCGGATCATGGCAAAGGCCTGGCGACGGTAGTACGCGTCCTGGGAGGAGAGGAGGGCGGCCTTGGCCATGTCGACGACCCAGTCGAGGCGGAGCTCAAACGGTGGGAGGCCGGCAAAAGAGAGAACCATGCGGAGGCCGTCCTCGGGTTGGCCTTGACGTTGAGGTGGGGTGGGTCCGTGAGGAAGCGACGGTTGCGGCCGCCGAGCTTGCCGAGAATGCGCATTGCGTGGACACCGTGGGCGTAGGGCGGCGGGCGGAGGTGCTTCCACAGCGCGGTCATGAGGTCGACGCGGACGGGCTCGATGATGGGGTCGAGGAACTCGGGGGTGAGGTTCTCGACGCAGAGCTCGAGGGTTCGGAGGCCTTGCGAGACAAGGTCGGTGCCCGACTGGAGAGCGATGACAAGCGGCTTCATGAGGTAGCGCAGGTACGGGAGGAGGGCGGAGAGGCGGACCGGGACGGTTAGGCAGAGCTCGACAAAGAGCTCGCGCATGGTGTGCTTGTGCTTGGACTGCTGCAGTCGGTTGAGGCCCTCGAGAAGGAGCGGGAGAAGGGGCAGGAACTCGCGGTAGAGGTGGTCGAACTCGCCGCCGCCAATGGAGCGGAAGAGAGCGCGAAGGAGGAGAAAGTAGGTCTGCGACGGCGTCCGCGTCTGGGTCGCGCGCCGCATCGACTCTTCGACAATGGTCTTGAGGTGTGGCTGGAGGGCGTGCTCGTTGGCCTTGAACAACTCGACCGAGGCAAAGACAAGCTTGAAGAGACGGAGCATGACGGTCGACACCTTTTTGTCGGGCGAGCCGATGAGATGAATGTGCTTGACCAGAAAGGCGAGGAGAATGTCGGCAAAGTACTTGGAGACCTGCGGGTTGGCCAGAAAGTGGCGGGCGATGGTGAGCATCGAGTTGTTGCGGAGGATGTGGTCGACAAGGAGCTCGATGTGCGACTCAAAAACAACCTTGAACGTCCGCGGGTCAACGAGGGTAAAGACACCGGCAAAGCAGTCGAGGATCTCTTTCTCCTCGGTCGTCTCCGACTGCGGAATGCTGACCGAGTAGAGTTCAAAGCACTTGAGGCCGTCGACCAGAAGCGAGATGAATATCTGCGACTCTTGCTCGGACATGACGTTGGAGCCGCCGGAGCCGCCGGAGCTGCCGTACCCGGATGGGTGGGCGCCGACCGGCGTGGCCGGCGTCTGGCGGCAGGAGGCGATGCCCCAGACAATGGTCTTGAGCCCGTGGGCGAGTGTCCGGACCTGAATCCGCCAATCCTTGACCGAGTCGGCAGTGCCAAAGTTGGAGACAGTGGTAGCGATGGGGGGCGCGATGGGAAGGACGCCGAGCGGAGTCCGGGCGTTGGGCTGTGGCGACAAGGGCGATGCCAATGTGGTGGCGACACCGGTCTTGGCGTCGGCCTTGGCGTCAGTCTTGGCGTCAGCGTCGACTTTGGCGTCGGCCTTGGCGTCGGCCTTGGCGTCGGCCTTGGCGTCGGCTTTGGCGCCAGCCTTGGTGTCGGCCTTGGTGTCGGCCTTGGCATCGGCCTTGGCGTCGGCATCAGTAGAGTCCGGCGGCGGCAGCGAGGACGGAGAGACGGCAGCGGTGGTGGCGGCGTCCTTGGCGGCAGCGTTGGCGGTCTCGGCGGCGATCTGGCGAGCCTGCTGCTCCTTGCGGCGGAGCTTCTCGCGGGTGGACATGCGGTAGGCCTCGACAAGGCGCGGGATGTAGAGCTTGAGGGCGCCAAACTTGTTGGTAAAGGTGTCGAGGACACGGACAAGGAGGGTGCGACCACGGTTGGCGGCATCGTTGTGCTTGGCGATGCACTCGACGAGGTTGAGGAGGAGCTTGCAGGACATGGTCTGGATGGTGGTCGGGAGAGCCGCGTCATGAACGTTCTTGGAGTAGAGCGAGACGGTCCGGGTCAGCTGCTCGAGTGAGAGCTGGTCGCGGACGTGGTGGACCAGGTCTGCCAAGGTCGAGTGCGCAAGCGGGCGAAGGGTATCGTAAGAGGTGCGGCAGGTGCCAATGAGAGTGGTCTCGTCGAGGAGGGTGTTGATCTTGGAGACAAAGCCGGAACGGAAGGAGGTGGCCAAGATGTGGCGGGTAGCGATGAGGAGCTCCTTGCGGATGACGGCCGACTCTGGCGGGCACTTTTTGAGGAGGCGAATGACAAAGGTCGGGATGGAGTCCATGTAGTTGTTGAGAGCCTGTTCAAAGCCCCGAAGGATGTAGGCGAGGAACGAGAGGGTCTTGACCTGTGCGGCGATAAAGTCGGTGTAGGCCTCGCGCTGGGTGGCATGAGCGTTGTCGGGGGCGACGAGCTCGAGAGTGGAGACAATGACGGGCACAAAGCGCGGGATAGACGACTGCGGGACTGAGGCTTCCTTGTAGAGCTGGAAGAGGAGGACGACGATGATGGGGCACTCGATGAGAACCTTGAACGACTCGAGGGCAAGTGCGTACTTCTTGACCGGGGCCGAAGAGTCGTCGTCGGTGGCACCTGGCATGCCGTCGAGGGCCATGTCTGAAGTCTCCGATCCAGGATGGAGCATGGCGGACGGGCCCGGGGCGAGGAGCTCCGACTCGTCGTCAGGCTCGGCGGTGAGGCGGAGGAGCGTGTGTGGCAGCTTCTGGTAGATGGTAAGGACGGTCTGCAGAAAGTCGCTGACGTAACGGCTGAGCGGCTCGTGGAACTTCTTGAACAGCGCCGAGATGATGCGGAGGCAGACGAGGGCATTGACCTCGTTGTCGGTCCGGATGATTTCCATGGCGAGCTGCATGATGTTGTTGACGTATTGCTCGAGACATGCGTTGCTCGGCAGCCGGACAATGATCTGCAAGATGACGTTGCGGATCGAGTGCACCGTGTTCGACTCCAGCTGCGGCGTTGTCACGTCACGGAGCGTCCGGACTAGCTCGGGGATAAAGTGCTCGAGGAAGCTGACGTAGCCATCGGTGTGCACAATCTCGATGGCGTCGCGAATCAGCTTGATCTTCTCCAGCTTGGTATCGAGGTCTAGCGTCGCAAAGATGAAGGAGGGCAGCAAATGGTGGAGAGTGAGTGAGAGGCGCGGAGGAAAGAGGGAAGGGACGCCGGGCGGGCCGCTGCGCTGTGCCTTGATTCTTGCGCGAGCGGGCGGTCGAATCTGCAGCGCTGAGCGCGACTCGCGGCTACCCGCTGGCGCGAGGAGGGCCCCCTCAAGGGCTAGCGACGCAAGCAGGGCCGTTTGGGGCCAAAAACTGGACACACGCATGCCCCATGGGCTTCTACATGTCTGTGCATGCCCAACACGTACCATGGTCGCTGTTCCTGAGCAAGGCCACATGCTGTGGGAAGGTGTCGGGGGTAAACTGCATCCCAACCCTTTTTTTCGAGGTCGGCAACGGGGCGAGAGCAGTGCCAGAGAGCTGGGCATGGTCAAGGCCAAGGCGCGTAGCCCACGCCTTCCGACGCCGCCGAGCCTTGGTCCGGATGCTGGTGGATGGCGTTGGGGAGGGCGATGCGCATGTAACGTGGTGCGATGGAGGGTTGGCGGGTGGGAGCAGGGAGGAGGTGGAGATGACGCATAAAAAGGAGGACATGAATGAATGTATGAAAGAATGAATGAATGAATGAATGAATGAATAACGGGTGGGTCGCTGCCGGATGGGTGGACGAGCTGACGCCCACGCCCGCCACCGCCCTGCTAGCGACACGCGACTCGCCACCCACACAGGCACGGGCTGGAGAGTCAATTAAGAAGAGGAAAGACAAGCAACGGCCAATCGCAGGGAGACCACGGTCAGAAACGGACACGCACGGCAAGAATGGCGGCGGCAGCAACAGCGGTTGAGGCTATGGGGGCGGGGCCTGAAGCGACGGCGCGTCGGGCCATGCAGGCGGCTGAGGCCGCGTCTGATGACGAAGAGGTCATCGAGCTCGAGACGGCGGGGGCGCGTGAGCTCGAGCAGGAACACGGAGCGAGTGGCGGCGCAGGTGGCGCAAGCGGCACGAACATGGCCAGCGCGGGCCCAATTGGTGGGACGAAAGGGCGCGGGGCGATGGTGGAGGTGGGAACGGTCATGATTCGGTACAAGGGCGTGTACTCCGGCGAGCTCCGCGACGGGGTTCCGCATGGGCGTGGCTCGTTCACGACGACCAACGGCGACGTGTTCGAGGGCGAGTGGATCAACGGGAAGAAGCACGGCTCGTTTGTGTGCAAGTACGTGTCCGGCGAGGTCTTTGAGGGCGAGTTCAAGGACGGACGCCGGAGCGGACACGGCAAGCACATGTACCCGAACGGATCGTCGTACGAGGGCGAGTACGTCAACGATCGGCGGCACGGCCCAGGCCTGTACTGCACCAAGCATGACTTTTACGATTGCCAGAAGACGTGGATGCGCAAGTACTCCCACGGCACGCTTGAGGACGAGCGCGAGGTGTACACCAAGTTCCAGCTCATTTCGGATCGCCCGGGCTTCGGCTTTGGCGTCTGGGTCTCGGACGACGGAACTCGGTACGAGGGCGACCACGAAGATGGGCTCCGCCACGGTGACGGCACCCTCACCTTTGCCGATGGCACCCAATGGATCGGGCCGTTTGCCAACGATCGCCGCCACGGCATCGGCATGCGCAAGACTCCGCTCAACGAGTACTTTTACGAGGAGTACGCCAACGGCGAGCTCGTCCGCTCCACGCCGTCCGACTACGCCAATTGGCGCAATCTCAAGTGGTTTGACGAGGGCGGCCAGCGGCAGTGATGTCTACCGACTGCGATGAGGTTTGGCGGTAAAGCGCTGTCTGTTCACGCCGGCGGCTCGCTCTAGCAGCGAAACGCCTGGAACTCGGCTTGGTGCCGCCAAACGACGGCGAGCAACGCCTCTCTACCACGCAGCCGGTCTACGGAGCACTTTCGCGCGCGAGCACAGACACGAGCAGGCAGAGGTTGTGAGAGTGCTGGCGTACTTGTGAACACGCGCTTGTTTTTGCGAGCCAAGGCCGAGCGTTACCTGCGCAGGACGGCAAGATGGGCGGCTCAGGCTCGAAGAAAAAGGGGGCAAGGCCAGGGGCAAGAAGGCCGGCAATGCCAAGGCCAAGGAGCCACAGCCTGTAGCAGGAGCGGATGGTGGCGGGGCGAGTAAGAAGGAGGCCGTGGTGGCCAGGAGTGGGAGCACGGCGGCGGCAGCCGGGAGCGGGGTGCATGTCGCGCCTGGCGTGCAAGCTGCTGAGAACACAGGTGTGGCCGGCACGCCACCTGGCGCACGGTCCGCACCTATTCACAGCCACCCTGCGCTGCGCGGCGGCGGCCGGACGCGGGCAGGCTCTGTGCGGTATGGCCTTGACGAGGGACGGACCGAGGCCATCCCCACGTTTGAAATGTGCGGCGACTCGGGCTTGACTGCCTTTCCTGCTGTTGTCACCCAACAGGCCTTTCTGCGCGAAGTCAAGCTTGCCCGCAACGCCATCACCGAGCTCCCGGACGGGCTAGGCGAGATGAGCAATCTCGCCCTTCTTGACGTGTCGTACAACGCGCTGCGGAGCCTGTCGCCTGCAGTCGCGCGGCTGAGCTCGCTGGAGAACCTCAACGTGGCCGGCAACGAGCTCAGCGGCGACGAGGCGTGGCCGGCAAGCCTTCCGGCCTCGTTGCACACGCTTAACGCGGCAGGAGCGGGCCTGGAGTCTGTGCCGGATGCAATTGCTACACTGAGCGCGGTCATGACGCTCAATCTTGCTAGCAACGCGCTGACAGTGCTCGGCTGTGGTGTCGACGGCGGGTGGGCGCGGCTGCACACGCTCGACGTCTCGCGCAACCTTCTTTGCTCGTTGCCGGACGAGCTTGGTTCACTTTCATCGCTCATGTTTCTCAACGCGTCGTACAACGCGCTACAGTCTGTTCCGGCGTCGGTGGGTGAGCTCGACCGGCTTGTCACGCTCAATGTGGCACACAACGAGCTGGCAAGTCTGCCCTCGAGCGTGTGGAAGCTTTCCTCGCTTCGGACACTCAACGCATCGTTCAACGTTATTGCCTCGCTGCCGTGCAACGCCGACGAGATGCCGGCCAACGGCTCACTGCAAACAGTGCTTCTCATCGGCAATGGCCTGCAACAGCTGCCGTGGGCGGCGCTGGGGAGCTCGGCGCGGTCGCTGCGGACGCTTGAGCTGTCGTGCAACCCTGAACTTGGCGAAGATCTCGTGTCCGAGGCTGCGTGTGAGGTTGGGCCACTCTTGACGCGGCTGACGTGGGTGAACATGACATGCTGCGGCGTCGGCGCGTGGCCGGCATGGCTCGGTGCGCTGTCTGCGCTCGAGACCTGCATCTTGTGGGGCAACGTTGGAGCGTGGCCAGACCGCAGCTGCGCGTCGCCGGTAGGGAGCAAGGTGGTGACACTCTCTCTGGGCGCGACAGGCGCAGGCCCCGAGGTGCTCGACGCGCTCGACGCCGTGGTTGACCAGCTCAAGGAGCTTGACCTCGGCCACAACCCCGAGGTCGATGGCTCGACGCTTGCACCACGAGTTGAGTGTATCTCGCTGGCTGGCACCTCGGGCTTGGCGCCAAACATGCCTCCAGAGGGAACTGCAGCCGACGAAGACGAGTTGGCCGGGGTTATCGATGCGCTGGCTGCACGCTGGGCAGTGGCGGCGCGGGTGGGACGGCGGGAGGATATGGAGGATGCGCACTGTGTGGGGCAGGCGAGCGTGCCGGCTCACGCGGTGGCGGCACTTGGCAAGACGTTGGCAACGTTTGCGGTGTTTGACGGCCACATGAACGCGGTGGCATCGACGTTTGCGGCCAAGGCATGGGAGGCGGCGCTGCAGGAGGCGCTTGTGGCAAGCTGCCGTGCCGGCGATGCTGCCGAAGACATGGTGGGTGCCGCGCTGATTGCGGCACTGGCTGCTGTGGAGGCGAATCTTGAGGCTGCTCACACTGGCGATGCTGCTGGCGGCACGACCGCTGTTGTGGCTGTGCTCTATGCGCCGCCCGGGAGTCGGGAAGTGCGGTGCAGCGTGGCCAACGTCGGCGACTCGCGTGCCGCGGTAGTGGACGCTGCCGGCGGGTGTTTTGGCTGAGCGTTGACCACTCGCCGTACGATGCGGACGAACGCGAACGGATCCGAGCAGCTGGTGGCTTTGTCGACGGCGACGGGCGTGTGATGGGGAAGCTGGGCGTGGCGCGGGCGCTGGGCGACTTTACGCTTGCTCCTTCTGTCTCATCTGAGCCCAGTCTGCAGCATACCACGCTCCCACCACGTGTATCGCTCGTCCTTGCGTGCGACGGAGTGTGGGATGTCATGACGAACGCTGTCCTTGCTGGCCTCGTTGCGTCAAGCAGTGAGGTGGACGAGTGCGCCGGGCGGATTCGCGATGCCAGCTATGCCATCGGCTCCGGCGACAACATCTCGGTCTTGGTCGTCCGAGTCGACGCAGACTCGACCTCGAACTCGAGACTTGGCGGTGCGGACGCCGAGTCGGGCTCGACCTCTGACTCGACGTCGGACGACAGCGACTCGACCGATCGCGACGTCTCGTCGAGCGATGGGGGTGGCGAGATTGAGGCTGAGGCTGGCAAGGTTGAGGCTGAGGTCGAGCCCGATGCTGAGACCGAGTCCGAGACTGAGACTGAGGCCGAGGCCGAGGCTGGGGCTGGCGAGGCTGAGGTTGAGGATGAGGCTGAAGCCGCCGAGGCTGAGGCTGAGGCCGAGGTTGAGCCCGATGCTGAGACCGAGTCCGAGACTGAGACTGAGGCTGAGGTTGAGGCTGGGGCTAGCGAGGCTGAGGCTGAGACTGAGGTTGAGCCCGATGTTGAGACCGAGTCCGAGACTGAGACTGAGGCCGAGGCCGAGGCTGGGGCTGGCGAGGCTGAGGTTGAGGCTGGGGCTAGCGAGGCTGAGGCTGAGGCTGAGGTTGAGCCCGATGCTGAGACCGAGTCCGAGACTGAGACTGAGGCCGAGGCCGAGGCTGGGGCTGGCGAGGCTGAGGTTGAGGCTGGG